ATGCTTAGCAAGATTTAGCAAGGCTGTACATAACATAAAAAGAAACATGGTGAAAAAAGAAATGGCGGGATCTCCATATTATGCACTATATTTAACTTTTTACAAAACGATAGTACATTAAATTTGGAACTGTTACAGCCATTTTAATTATGAGCATTAGCAAACTTCTTATTGAGTGAATTGTTATGCAAATTAGCAATTATCTCAGCTTCTTTTTAGTGCACATCCCAGAACTTTAAAAAAAAATAGCTCCTAGACGCTTTGACCTTTTGTTTTGAAATTTTCACAAATGATTGACAATGTGTTTATCTTCAAAACGCCGTCGGGACATTGTTTTTGGTTGAACAGTGTTACAACAATCGTACAGACAACTAGCCTGGATGTTAATTTATGCATAAACTTGAAGTAGTGAAATTTGGGCTGCTGCCCTGCAAAATTGACAACTAGTTGACAGTTTTCAAGACGGCGATTTCTTCATAGTAAACAGATGTACCCATAAACCAATTTTGACAGGAAACAGAAGCATGGTTTAGGAGCTAATTTTTTTTAAATCACTTTTGACCAAAAAAGCACATTTTTGTGCATATATAAAAACTACAGTGTCCATAAAAAAAAAATACTAAAAAATTTTTAAAATTCATACAATAAGCTTTCTGAAAATATATAGTTTTGTGGACAATGGAGGTCATCTTGGTTTCCTAATTAACTAATTAAAATACCTGTCAGGTAAACTGCATCTCTACCTTAATTCTCTAATTTTGGTGAATATTTTTGTAATTTTTGATAAAAAGTGATTTTTTGACTTCTTGTTGAAAACCGCAAGCCCAATTGCTTTGATATTACATATATAGGTACTACATGTGGACCTCTCTCTGATTTGTTTATTTTGTAATGATATCTTCAATTCTCTAATTTTGGTGAATATTTTTGTAATTTTTGATAAAAAGTGATATTTTTGACTTATTGTTGAAAACCACAAGTCTGATTGCTTTTATATTACATATATAGATATTTCATGGTAATACATGTGTTGTATCTTCAATTACTTATTTTTGATGATTATTTTTGTCATTTTTGGTGAAAAGTGATATTTTTGAATTCTTGTTGAAAACAGCAAGTCCTGTTGCTTTGATACTATACATATTGTTCATTTTCTAATGATATCTTCTGTTTAATTGAAATGTGCATTGCTAATAGCGGAGCTATCTCAGCCGACAGGCTGCTTGTTTCTTATATTCTTCAATATTTCTAGAAATGAACCCTAATTTTGGAGCCAACAGACAAAATCTGAGTCAATTTTTCGTTTCTACTCGTTTCTATTTTGGTCCAAATCTTTGGACAGGACTATTTTTGGAATATGTGATGAAAAGAGGAAACTGGCAGTGGAAAGGTTGTCTTTCTATGGGTCTCACATGACAATAGCCCTAAGATACAAATTGATGCCAGAATCTTGTCGAGAACGAGAGCCACAGGATTTGTTTTTACCTCACAAATAGTATTCCATTTTCTTATCATCACATTCACTGTTTCCCTGATTATGGACAGAAGTTGTGATGACAGAAGAGAACTTAACAATATATGAGGGGGAAAAACAAGTATTGTGACTCCCTCGCTCTCAACAAAAACTTGGCAGACATTTGCATTTAGGGTCTAGTAGGCTTATAGACATTGACAGGCATACACAATGTAACCAATGAGTCAAGTGTATATTTAAATCTTGAGTTTTTCAAAATTGTATCTTTCACTGTACTTAGATGACCCTGAAATCAACCACACTAATACTGCAAGTAGAGGAAAAGTTTGTCCAACTGAGTACTAACTGCCGATACGTTAATCATTTCGAAAACTGGTTGTTTTCAGTAAAATCCTACACAAGTACGTCACTCCCCCCTGCATAAATCATAAATCAGACCCGTTTTATCTTTTTCTAAGGATTTTATGCATCTAATAAAATATTACAAGCATTCATTTTATGTTTTTTTTGTCGTTATCTGTATGTCAATTGTGACCAATTTTTACAGAACGCTACAGATTACAGTGTGATACATTAGAAGCAATGTGGTTAATAGTAAAAGCTGTGATTGACAGACTATATGCATATCATTATACTATGGGTGTCAAGGATTTCAAATGCTCATACCAAGGGACATTACCATTACAGGAATATTTTGATGTTATTGATCTACATTTTGAGGTAATTTATGACAGTAAACTTTTTACCTTGTTGTCAACTTTGACCTTTACCTATAAGTATTTGCATACAACATGTCTAACTTATATTCTATATTGGCAACATGATCTTAACATATTGACCTTTGTCAACTACAATCTCTAACTTATTGACTTCCACTGTCAGCCTGACCTTAGTTAGTTACTCCTCTTCGCTCCGGGTGGAGCATAAGGCGCTGACAAATCTCCTGCAGCCATCACGGTCCTGCACAAGCCATCCTATTTCATTCCAAGTCTTCCCTGCTGCCTTCAACTCCTCTTCCACAGTCCTTCTCCAGGTGCCCAGAGGCCTGCCTCTTTTCCCAGGTGGTGCCCATCTCAATGCAGCGTGAGGGTGTCTGGTTCTGCCCATTCTTAGCACATGCCCCAGCCATCTCCAGCGTCTCTGCTTCACCTCAGCTGTGATGATATTGATGCCTGACCTTAATCTAATAGTAATATTTTTTTGTATCATTAGAAAAAGAACATTTCTTTCATTTTTAAGCAATAAATATACCATTACGAGTTACAAAAACTAAAAAGTAGTACATGTAGAAGTAACATCGAGAGAAAAATTTCATTTTTGTGTTGTGAATCACCTGTTTGCAAAACTTCCAACACTTTTGATTATTTCCTCATCTCTGTTTTTAAGTAGATGTATGAGTTTCTGGAATGAATTGGTCATTTTAGCTGGGAATTAAATATCTAATCAGGATTTTTTGTCTGCCTAATTTGATATTTAGTGCAAATTAGTAAAAAGTATAATTCACCTTCAAGCTCATTAAGTGAAGAGTGTTTACTAATTCTCTTTTCTAAAGGTGTCTTATTACGTATGCCTTCTTACTCAATTGCTTAATTGTGGTTACTTGTTCTAAATTTAGACATAATAATTCTTTGTCTGGTTTTATAAGTATCTTTAGAATTTGGTGAAGATAAAATATCTTTTTCTTGTCGATTATCTTCTTTCAATCTTTTTGCATAGATAAATTTGTACCTTTTTGTCACTACAAACTTTAATATGACATCAGCTGTCAACGACATTCATGTACTTTCCTGCCATTGTCAGTCATGCATATTTTTAGCTCCGCTGTCGACTTTGTCGAGCGGAGCTTATCATATGAGTGATTGTCTGTCATCCGGCGTCCGGCGTCCTGCGTCCGTCGTCCGTGTCAATGTTTTACTTATTCGATTTCTTCTTGAAAACTACAAGCCTGAATGCTTTGATACTTGGTGTATATGTACCTTGGGTAGACCTCTCTCAGATTTGTTCATTTCATGATCATATCTTCAAATCTCTAATTTTGGTGAATATTTTGTCATTTTTGGTAAAAAGTGATATTTTCCACTTCTTGTTAAAAACCGCAAGTCCAATTGCTTTGATATTACATGTATAGGTACTACATGTGGATCTCTCTCAGATTTGTTCATTTTGTAATGATATCTTAAATTCTCTAATTTTGGTGAATATTTTTGTCATTTTTGGTAAAAAGTGATATTTTCGACTTCTTGTTGAAAACCACAAGTCCAATTGCTTTGATATTACATATATAGGTACTACATGTGGACCTCTCCCAGATTTGTTCATTTCATGATGATATCTTTAATTTTCTAATTTTGGTGAATATTTTTGTCATTTTTGGTAAAAAGTGTTAATTTCTTCTTGTTAAAAACCACAATCATTTATGGTGAAAAATGATATTTTTGAATTCTTGTTGAAAACAGCAAGTCCCATTGCATTGATACTATGCCTATTGTTCATTTTCTAATGATATCTTCTGTTCTTTAATTGAAAAGTGCATTACTAACAGCGGAGCTATCTCAGCCGAGAGGCTGCTTGTTAGATTAATGTTGGTGGTAAAGTGAGACGATAAAGGACACAAAATATAAAGATAAATGCTGTGAAATGTTTCGTCTTTCAAAATATTGTGTTAATTCACAGAAATTAGTTTCTCATGAAAAAATGTATGTTTGTTAATTATTATGTTTTAGTTGAGAATGAATGCTCAAAGGTATAAAGAACTGTTAAGTCAGAGAGCCCAGCAATTTAGAGCCATCCAGAGACGATTACTGACACGATTCAAGGATAAGACTCCAGCACCGCTACAAAACTTGGATACTCTATTAGATGGTACTTACAGACAGGTATGTTGCATTCTGGGAGAGATCATTCAATGACTTTTATGAGTATAATTAATAGTGCATGATTTACAAAGATTTCAAACAAAATTGAAACTGATTTATGAAGTGGCACTTTTTACCGTTATTAAAAGCACATCTTTTACAGAAGAATGCATAAATCAAAAATTACATTTCAGCAACATTTTTTTCTGCCAAAAGTTTTGCCCAAATGTTGCCAAATTGTGATTAAGCTGTTCGGCAACAAATCTAACCTTTTCACCACCAGTTCCCTCTTTTCAGCACATTTTCACAAAATAGTATCATTTATAGTCTGCCCTTTACTTCAGCAGATTGGGACAAAAATTATCAGATTTTTTGAGAAAAAATTAAAATTCACTCAAATTTTGTTTGTTGGCTTCAAAATTACTGGTAAGATTCAATCCATTTCCAGAAATATTGAAGAATATAAGAAAAAAGTGGAGAAAAATGTGGGTGAGAAATTCTGGTGGTGAAATGGTTAATGTGTATTCTATATATCAATAAGTATAAAATTCATATTATTTCAAATGATTTTTACGAAATTAAAAATGACTAACTACCGGTATTAACAACTTAAGTAATGTTTTTTGATCTGTAGATTTTAGCATTGTCTGATGCAATAGAAGAGAACCGTCAAAAGTTAGTCACATGCAGCATCAGTTTGAGTGCCACTACTAAAATCATTACAGAGTTGATTAAATTGACTTATAGCTTAAATAGGAAAGAGTCTAAGATACTGACATCTGCGTTGTCTGAAGACGTGACTGTTGATGAAGAACAGGTATAGTCATTATCTCATTTTAGTGAACTGAATAGTCTTACATTACCAAGGTGATGATAAAAATACAGCGAGCATAATCTGATGAGGAAAATTGAATAACAGTATTCTGGAATGTTCGACTTTCCTACAGGGATGGGAGGAATCCACAGATGCTGCTATAACACACTTGTTGAGAACCTGTTTGGCCAAGACAGCCAAGGATCAGACTATCAACCCCTCTCCGTTACAACTACCAAAAGAGACTATGAAAATAAAGAAGCATATTACACTGTTATGCGATAGACTGAGTAAAGGAGGAAAGCTGTTGATTGAAGGACTCCCTGATGGTGAGTAGGAAGGACAACTATCTGGTTGATGGTTAGATAGGCCTCTCAATTTGGTGCTGGGTTTTAGTATTCTGATGAGTTAGAAATCCTTCTCAAGTTGTTGGTGTGTGTGTGGAAGAGTGTGTAGGAAAGCTTTTCATGATTGTGATGACTTAGAAAACCTCCAAGCTGTTAGTGGGTGTGAAAGAGTAAGTAGGAAAGCTTCCAAGACAGAAGTTCAGAGCAGAAGCAAATGCTTGTGAGTCTATGATCGTTAGAACACTACTCAAACATCTCAGCAAATGGAATTTGGGTAAAAACGTGAAAAGTTGATAACATTTAACAGTATGATCCTTCCTATTTCTTAGGTTGAATGTCTACTACCAGTAACTACTTTAAATTCAACATTTACAGAACCAGTATACTGTCTATTAATTAAATTATTGTTCAAATGTTTTCACTTCTTATTTAGAACCTGAGGAAAAACCCAAGAATTACATTCCAGCAGTGCGACCGGTATCCAAGCAACCATCACCACAGATACCAAGTGAAGATCCAACAAGGGGTATAATGTCGCCAAGGTTACAGACCATTGAAGAGCCGAAGCCGAATAAGAGCATAAATGATTCACCGAATTTGCCCGCAGCCAGTGAGAAAAAAAGACCATTGGGTGAATTACCTCCATTGAGTTCTCAGACTTCATTGCCACCAATAAGTACTAATCTTGGCTCTGGTGAGTATGCTAGGGTTTCTTTTTTTTTGTGACTACAAGAATAAAATTTGTTGCTCCCAGCCATGTGCTGATGTTTTGATGAATAAAATGCAAAATCATTGCAATTTGCACCATTCATAGATTTGTTAACCTTTTCAACCACTAGACTTTCTCACCCAAATTTTTCTTATATTCTTAAATATTTCTAGTAATTAACCCCAATTTTTGAGCCAACAAACAAAATTTGGCTATTTTTGTCCCAATCTTCTGAAGGGAAGTGCGTACTATAAACAGCACTATTTTGTGGTGAAAAGAGGGAACTGGTGATGAAAAGGTTAAGCCATTGCTGGAAGTTGCTGTTAATTAAACCCATCTTAGTGTCTGCTTAGCAACAGATACAGACGGCCTAGAACAGTGTATTAACCAGCTACCTATCAGCTTATCAACTATTATTTTTTTTCTTTGACAATTTTGCCAAACACTTTAAAATTCCTTGCTAATACCCTGGCTTAGAGTTGTTGGCTTAGTGCCTTTGAATTTTTGGTGCATAACTTTTTTGTATATTTCAAGTGATCAGCAGCCTTTTTTTAAACAACTCTCTTGCGAAAAGAGTGTCTGGTTTATGCAGGATACAAACCATATCAGACCCTGGATGAACCCAGCTGCATAAGTCACATAATTTTTGGTCTGTGACACAATCACCGACTCACTATGATAACTCCTTCTCTTGTTTTGTTCGTAACAGGTTTAACGTCTCTGAGTAAGAAATCCACGTTACCAAGTATGAATAGCGACACACCAAACCTTGATGATATGAATGCAGATATGATATTGAAAAATGGTGACAAAGAATTGGAGTCTTTTTATGATTAGTAATGTATATCTTTAGACTGCTGGAGCAGCATGTCGGCAGTTGCATAGCGCCCTCTAAGTCTTAGTTGTGACATCCTCAGATTTCCATCACCTTGGATTATTTTCTGTTATTTTCAAGTATGCTACTGAATGACTGTATAGCGCCCTCTATAAGCCCTAGGTATAATGTACCCTGATTACCATATCTGTTGTTCATATCCCTTACCTAGTAACCATTTTGCTGAATGACTGTATAGTGCCCTCTATAAGTCTTAGGTACAGTTTCCACTGATTACCATCACTGTTGTCCATATCACTTACCTCGTAACCATGTTGCTGAATGACTGTATAGTGCCCTCTATAAGTCTTAGTCACTGTTTCCACTGATTACCATCTCTTTCATCCACTTTGCTTTCTACTCAATTACTTTATCATTTTCCAACATTGACCATGTAGCAGCTTCTATAAGATACAATATTTATTCCTTAACATTTTTATTGGGCATTCCTGCTTCCCAAGTTTACACCCTCTATAGACCTTCTTTTATACATTCTGTTGAATACTGATATATCATCTGTGGTCTCGGCCAAATTTATTGAATTTCCCATTAAAATTTTCTATTCAGTAAATATATGGCACTCTCTATGTACGTGCATTAGCAATTCTTATTGCTGCCAAAAAGTTTAATAATTATTATTCAAATAGATACCCAACTTGTTTTCATGTATAGTAATATTTTTTTACAACAAGAGGTTGCATTTTATATTAGTATAAAAATATGCTATGTTTTGATTTATTCTGTAGATTGATTCATCTTTTGCTGAACAAAGTTTCTTTAATACCTGCCTTATTCACACACATCTCGTTAAAGGGGAGTAGGCCGTGACACATAATTGTGCTTCTCAATTGTATTCTATTCCCTAATGTCATTTTGTTCACTGTTCAAAATGGACATGGGAACACTGGACCTAATGATAAAAAATAGACTGTACTGTATTTCAGGGTTCCATCTTAAAAGGGTTTACTGAAATTATTTTTGCTGAAAAGCGATATGTGCATTATTTTAACTGTCACAAATTACTTGCAAAATATAAGTAATTCACTGGATTGCATTTTTGATGATTTTTACCTCATGAGCAAAAGTAGTTAAGCATGAATCCAGATAACTATTGAAAATGCAAAAATTAAAAGCATAACAAGATCTTGATATAGTAATGCTGTGCAAAATTCTGCGGGTTCTATCAAATAAATGAAAAACTGAATTTGTTTCCATGGAAATAATGATTTTGTCATTTCCTACTGAAAGCATCCACTGATAGAAGAAATGAATTGAAAATGACATCAGCAGACAATGTCTGGTATCTATTATGAAGTGAAAATTGCTTTAAATATATTCAACAAAAGTTCATGCTTCAAAAAAAAATAGTTTGGTTACCTTACTTTGAACTTTTGAACTCATAATAGTAATATTTCTATGTAACGCGCACCTACCCGTAAAGGATCACGTCACGCATTTACAAGATTTGTGATGGGATACAAGTAATATGCAATACCAGGACGGGGAATTACACTGACTCAGTGTTTACTTTAACAAATCAATATCTGAAAGCCCGTACTGATAGTCTGAATGAATGGGAAAAACCAGCATCAGCACCTGATGTACTAAAGCACTACCGCCACTGAGTCACATCATGTTCAATATAAATCCATACATGCGATGCATACACGAAATTAATTGCGCACATTGCATGATAACTGGCTGTTTAAGTGTATCCTATTTGCTCTATTAGAAACACAATATCAATAGCGACGAGAGGTATTACATAAATGTTAGGAATAATTGCTCCAACTTAACAACCTTCTTTTCTTAACTATATAATAGCATTCATGTTGGAACATATGCTTTTAATAGAGCAAATTATGGTCTACTGTAATACTATAATCGTGTTAGACAAATTGTCGTGAATTTCATGAGTCAGGGACAACACAACACTTTTTGTAGCAGTGAACATTTCATTGGAATCATTAAAACAATTAGTCCCAGTGACTATCACGAAATTTCGTCTTCATTAATTACGTCAATTTATCGTACCACATTCTGAATGGTCTCTCGAAAAAAGGAAACTGCGAATCAAATTATTTGGCAATATTGATGTTTTTATGAATTGCTCAAAAACAGGAATTTGTTACACAGTGTTGTATGTATATATTGAATATATTTTGTGTGTTTTATATCAAGATATTGAGTCTTTCTTCTAACATGCCATGTACACGATACATATCTGTATATTTATACCATTACAAAAATGACACCCTACTCTATTCGGGTACGGGTTTGGAAGTAGTATATGTACATAGAAAAGTGGCATTGTGTTCTGGTTGTCATGTGAAACTTTCCATAAAATGAACCTTATGAAAATACTTTAGAGTTGTCTTATAGTTTGTATGTATTAATGAGTGGAGTATAATGCAAAGTAGTATTTAGTTATACCATTTAAACTTAGAAGGCTGTCGTGAGTGCAAATCTCTGCCTCAGCTATAAAGTAGCTATCCTTACAGTGATTCTATCTGACCATGGTGAAGAACCCTTTCCGAAATTCTGTCTTCATGGCAACCACATCCACCACCACTACCCCCTATCTAATCGATTTGGTCTTTTTACATTTTCTGGCAATGGTGAAAAATCCTTCCAAAAGTTCCTCTTCCATGGCAAGCAGATCCAGTTCTCACACAAAACATGGTTGATTAGTCCTTGTCTTAGAGTATCCTATTGTCATGTAAATTGTTCTTCAACTTTTTCAAACTACCCAGACATAACCTTTTTGATGGAGGTAATAATGACACATCATACACATTCTAACACCTTTCAAGTATTACAGTAGATGATAGTTGCTACTGTAATATTGAATTTGAACATGCTGCTTGGTTTAGACGTCCAGTCTTTCAATAAAAATCAATTTCTACTGAATGAAAAATTGTTGCTTTGTAAAACAGACTTGCATGGAAGGGATTTTATAAACTGATTTTCATATGAAATGTCAGTGGCTTAACTATATGCTGGTATATATTTTTAATTCATTAAACACAATAGTTTCCAGGGCCGGATCCTGCAAAATGTATTGGGGGGGGGGGGTCCAGGCCTATAGGTCGAATACACGGGACCGTGCGATTCAGATGATGTTATGCGTAATCCAGATGCATTTTCATGCGTTTG